GCTGTTGTGCATAGGGTCGCTATGAGTCGGAAACGACTCGACGGCACATAACAAGAACAACAACAACAACAGCTCTATCAACAAAAGACCTAAAAGTAATTGTCAGTAGTAACAACCATACTTGGTACCCAAATGCAATTTTCTATTAAAATAATGCAATGAAAACACTATGGCCCACAGCAGAACACTGTATATTCCCCAGTTAATCACGAGGTTCATGGTGCTGGGCATGTAGTGCCATGGTGCGTGGGGTCACCAGGACCAGGGGTGAAGTTGAAAGCAGCTAACAACTAAGGGAGCCAAGACTCCAAAGAGCAAAGGCAGCAAATGTGTATGGCGTGCCTGACATATCAGAAGGCAAAAAGCCATCAAAAACACTGTGGTGAAGCACACACAATACACAAAGGAGACAATGGAGGAAATACGAAAACTGACTGGAGAGTAGTCTTAAAATACTCTTAAGTTTAATCACTGTATATATTGGAAGTGGCAGAAATAGATATAAATTTGGGACTCTCAAAACATATATCTGTATTTGGAATTAATGTACCCTAGAGGAAACAGCCTTACATAGACTTAAATAGCATCCAGGGTTCTACTGTCCAAAATGATTTTCCATACAGCTCTATATATCTTGAACATGGTGGCCTGTGTACAACACATTTTTACTTAGTAACAGAACCCACAGGACTTAGTATCTATTTTCAGAAAGATGAAGACAAAGTCTTATTCCTTTTGAAAACTAAATGTCAAATAAGACAGAATTCTATTTAAGTGTCTTTCCAAATGCAGGACTTGTGTTTATTCATTCCTCTCTCTTTGCTAAGTACAGTTTTATTCAAAAGCTTCAAACCAGTGAAAACGAGATACTGAATAACTTCTAAATGAGCTAAATCTCCTGGGGGAAGTGAGGAACAGAAGTCAGACTCTATTAAAATGCCCTCTTCCTTTCTAAAAGCTGTTTATGCAACCACACAGAAGCTGAAAATTTGAATGGCATCATCTAGAAATAAAACTTTCAAGCATGATATTGAATTCTAGTTTACAAGTGAAAAAGTTAAATCAACCATAACTGCTACTTTATCTTACAAATGCGTTTTCCTAGATTTTATGCTAAATATTTTAAATATAGCTGACAGTGTGATTCAAGAAGGAGAAACAAATTATACATATAACAAGATGTCAAAAAGCAATAAAAGCATCTTGAAAATAAAATTCCAACAGCAGATACAGCTCTGAAGCTCTCAAAATAGCTTCACAAAACTTGGTAGCAAACCGACTTCCTCAGATGTTCTGAAGAATTAAGAAGAGTATGTCGGTGGCGGGGTGAGTGGGGGTTTAGGATAAAAATCTAGGCCAAAAGCAAAAGAGTCAACGAAAACCAAGGCTGTAAGTGGTGTCTCCTCTGCTTCAGAATTAGCAGTTAAGCCCTTGCTGTGACTGAAGCATTTGTGGTCTTCTCCTTTCCCAACTCACCCTCCTTGTTCACCATGAACTACCAATCAAGAGAGTCAGACCTTGAACCTGCTACTGCTGGCAGCTTGCCAAGAAGATCCTGCTTTCCTTCACATCAACAAGATGTACTTCCCTTTATTCATGAAAATCTCAGGCAGCTTTCTCTCTCTCTCTCTCATTCTCTCTGTCTCTCTCTCTCAACACTGTCTTAACTTTCTAGTATTTTTCTTATGATTATTTACCAAGAGAAAAGGTAAACACTCTCTTATTGATTAACCCCCAGAGGAGCCCCTTACCTCATGCTTGTCAGGAGCAATGAAGTTGAGCTGGCAGTTTGAGTCATACAGGATGGAGAAAGCAAGTTCAAGCACCTCCTGCAAGAGATTAGGGAAAACAGTACATTCAGTGGAGACTAACTAGCACATTGGCTTTGCAGATCCAAGTGGCTGGACATCCAACATGGGGCAGGGTCCCATCGCGGCAGGTGCAGAAGTGAGGGCACAGGGAGGCTGACAGGAGGGAGGTCCACGCTGCTCAAGGGTCACAACACGATTGCTGCTCTATATTCAAGGGAAGCACTCTGCGTGAACCATCTCTTTTCATATTCAAGACAGCTCATGTAGTTAGCGTTATCTGCCCTGTTAAGTGAGAAGGAGTTTGGTAGTGTAGTGTTTTATGTGCTAGGCTGCTAATACAAAGTTTGGGAGTTCAAATTCATCAGCTGTCATGAAAGAAAGATGGCAAGTCTTCTCCCACAAAGATTTCCCATCTCTGAAACCCAACAGAAAGTCATTATGAGCTGGGATCCAGCTGAGAATGGTGAGTATTTGTGTCTGAAGGAGGCTGAGAAGGTCACTGAAGCTCTCAACACCTCATAGCTCCAGGGCTGTATGGCTCTTCTCTCTTCAGCACCTCCCTTTCAGCGACATGATGAGAAATGAGAAAGCTCTTTCCTTAGAGGTGGCTGGTGGTTCACCAGCAACATGCTCACTCTCCACGTGAGAGACCAGGCTTTCCGCCAATGGGCCTAATGCTCAGAGGCTTGCCCATCAGCACAGGCTTCCTTGTTGAACCAGAATTGGTGGAATTCCAGGCAAGATGGTCACACACGAGAAACTTGGTCATCTAATTCTGGAAATTGATCACCCGGCCTTTCATCCCACTGTAAACAGGGTTGCCACAAGTTGGGGGCTGCCCCAATAGCAAAATAGATAGCACTGGATCATAAACTTTCTAAACATGGAATATACATGGGAGCCAGTGAGGCCTCCAGATGAACCTATTATCATCAGGTAGATTCCCAGGCCTTTGATCCCATTTATTGTAGTTTGGATGCCCCACTGAATCCTGTTTAGTGTTACAGCAACATGCACACCTCCACAGACAAGTGGATGGTGGCTGAGTAAGAAGGGCACTAGCTGGGAATTGAGACGGGGTCTCCCACACGGAAGGCGATAAACCTACCACTGAACCGCCAGCTGCCTCTCAGAAATATTTTTGTCTTGTGTCTCGGATGCACTGTAGTGGAAAGGCCGCACACATTCTAGATTTTATCCCAGAGAGGCTGCAGGGTATAACAGAGACGTACGGATTCGAGTGTCAGAGTCCCTGGGCTCCTTCACCTGAGAGCACACTGTGAACCAGGCCTGGAGCATTAGGAGATGCTTCCAGGTCATTGTAACTGTGCAGCCCTAGCCAAGGCACCCAGACCCATCCTTGATTTGTTGTTGAACATTTTTACAAATGAATGTGCTATATCCATATTGGGTACAGTGGCCATTCTGTGGCTCTAAACAGCTAGCAGAGAACAACCTGTGAACAATGACAGCTACCAGTCCACCAGTAAAGGACAACACTCCAAAACCAAAACCCAGCCCCGCTGACTGTGATCTGTGGTGACTCCATGTGTAACAGACCAGAACTGTACTCCAGGGATATTTCAAGGCTGGGACCTTTTGGAAGATTGCCAGGCTTTTGTTCTGAGGCACATGTGGGCGGGTCTGACCATTACCCTTAGCAGTTGAGCACTTCATGGTTTCACTGCATAGCCAGTTCTCTCATTACCCAAACTGCTCCTAACTTGGAGGGCAAGCACTAAGCCCATTAGCATCTGGTCTCTGCATTATTATAACACACATGCTCTGGCCTCCTTTTCCTCTGTGCCTTAATTAGGCACCACTGATGCTCAACCATGTCCTCCAGCAGTGACCTGGGACTGGCAGTAATTCCTCACGAAGCACTCTTTGTTAGAAAGGCAGGTCTCTCCATGTCATTTTTTACCTTTAATATTTGTCAGAGGTTTGCACTCTGGCCAGTGATTCACAGCAAGAATGCCCCAGAAAGAAGAAGGGAGGCAAAAAGATGCAGTCAATGCACCAGCTTTCAGAATTTCAGATGAACTAAAGAATCATTTCATAGTGAACCTGGAAAGGCAAGCTCACCCCATTGTGCCAACGATCAAGCTATTTCTGGCGCTCATGGGGTTTGTCTGAGTCTGGATCAGCCCCAGCTGCTGTCCTCTCATTAAACGGTAGCAACTCTGGTTCTGAGGCTCCAGATACCGCCGTCTCAAACTGTTATGGCCTTTTTGCCCTATCAGAAATAGAAACAAGGCAGGCATGAATGCTGAGTCATGGAGTGGGAGTTCGTTGGCAAAAATAGCCCTCTCATAATTTTTTTTTACTCTTTTTCTTCCTTAAGTCTTCATTGTGGCATTGCCCAGGGAAAATGATGAATGTAGGAAAGGGCTCACACCACCACCAACACACACCGACACAGACATAAACACCTTTTACACACCCTTTCCCGATTAAGTTTGAAATCTGTGCTCATAATCATCTAATTTGCACCTTCTAACTTATAATTAAAGAGCTCTGGTGGCCAGGGAGTACTGAAGAGTAATGATGTCACTCTGGAGACTAAGGTGTGCCTTATACATGTCATGATCTTCCCAATTACTTGCTATGCATCAGAGAGCTGGACAATGACTAGGGATGATAGAAGGAGAATTGATGCCTTTGAGCTGTGGTGCTGAACTGAATATACCATGGACTGCTAGGAGAACAAACAGTTTCATCCTAGAGAGGGTGAAACCAGGGGGCTTCTTGGAGGCAAGGACTCTGAAGCTTTGTCTGACATACTTTGGACATGTTGAAAGGAAGACCAGTCCTTGGAGAGGGACATCATGCTTGGGAGGGTGGGGGGATGACAGCACAAGAGAGTAAGACCCTAGATGAGATGGATTGATTCAGTTACTGGGGTAATGGGAGTAGGTGTGTCAGAGACAGTAAGGTTGGCTCAGGGTAGAGCAGGGCTCAGAGCTGTTGTACATAGGGTTGCTATGAGTCACAAGTGACTCGATGGCACATAACAACACAACAACTGGTAGACGAGTGGTAAGAAGCTGTTAACCCAAAGGCTCATGGTTCAAATCCATCATTTGCTCCATCGGAGAAGGATGGGAGTCCTGGTGGCTCAGTGGTAAGAAGTTGTGCTGTCAATCCAAAAATAGGTTGTTCAAATATACCAAATGTTATGTGAGAGAAAGATGGGCAATCTCCTCCTGTGTGATTTATAGCCTTTGAAATCTCTCGGGAGTATCAATTATGAGATGGTTCTGACTTGATAGGTGCATAACAGCAGAGAGCACTGGTGCCATAGTCTATAGGGAATTTCACTGTGAACCCATAGGCCTGCCTCTCTGTTGGTTCAAATCTACCAGAAGCTCCATGGGGAAAAGATTGGCAATCTCTTTTAGTTTGATTTAAAGACCTGGAAACCCAGAGGAGGGCCCTCTATGAGTTGGTTCCGACTTGATGGCAATGAGTAAATTAAGAATCGAAACAGTCATAGGCCATGTTCACATCTATTGCTGTGAAACTCCCTATGTTTAGAATTCAACTGTTTGCATAGGATGTAATCACCAAGGAAGTCTTTACTTCTAGCTAATTGTTGGCAGAAATCTTTTGCACCACATTTTGTTGTGTTATATACCATAGAGTTGGAACCAACCCATAGCTAACCCTCCAGCGGGTTTTCAGAAGCAGTTAAACACACAGAAGAAGACTGCCCATCCTTCTCCTGAAGAGCAGCTGGTGGCTTTGAACCGTGTGCCTTTGGGATTTCAGCACAGCTTCTTGTCACTAGGCCCCTAGAGATCCACATACGGACCACCAATGGTGCCTGGTAGTGGCACCATTAATTGGCATAATCTTTTGACAAATTAGTTAGGCAGTACATATCAACAACTAGGGATTCCATTCTTGGGCTTTATTTAAAAGAATGTCAAAGTTCTACATCTTTTTTTTTGTCTCCTAAAGGTCCATATTATTATCTGTAAGAATATAAGAAAGCAAAAGAATATTCTTTCCTGCATTTGGACAAGCCATCAAAGAAATCACAAATTAGCAATCCAGAGAAATATATTCAGCCAGCCATTCAGTATGATAATTATGAAGATATGATCTCAAGTGTAAAAAAGCAGTCTATAAAAATACTCTATCCATACTGATCATGATGATGAATAATGGAAGTGAGTATGTGTACAGAAAAGAATTCTGTTAAGGTGCGAGAATAGTAAATGACAATCATTCATTCATTCATTCATTTATTATTTTTTTTTTACTCTCCAAAAATTTTAACACTTTTTAAAAAAACAAAGTTATGCTCTAATATCTGGAATTCATAAAAGTTGTTCTTTGATCAGCAAGGGTTAACTTACATGATTCTATCAATATTAGTATCACTCCTTAAGCTTTTAAAAATAAGACTGTTTAGGAAGGCAGAAGGAGAAAGAAGGGGACTACTCTGGCTCATCAGTGTAGTATAGCAAAGGAACCCCGGTGGTGCTGTGGTTTAGCACTTAGCTGCTAACTAGAGAGTCTATGGTTCAAACCCACAAGCTGCTCTAAGGGAGAGAGTAGCGACAGTCTATTTCTGTAAAGATTCACAGAATGAAGGCTGAATAGTGGAGTGGACTTAGGGGGAGGGATTGTTTAACAATGACAGCATTTTTCTTTTACTTTTCAAAGAGAAGAACGAACTGGCGGGGAGGGGTGGGCAGGGAGAAAAGTGCAACAATGAATGAATGGGGAAAAAAGGAGAAAAAAAGAAAAGATTTACAGCCTTGGAAACCCTACAGGGCAGTTGAACTCTGCCCTCAGGGTTGCTGTGAGACAGAGTCCACTTGATGGAAGTGGATTTGCTGTATATTTGCACATGGAACACGGAATCTGACTAGTAACAAAAAACTTGTAATTTGAGTACACTCACAGGTGCCTGGCAATCCACTTCTGAAAAATCAGCCATTAAAAACCCTGTCAGAGAACAATTTTACAGGTAACATTCAGTGGCAAAGAGGAAAAGGCATAATTCA